TTGGTGGTCCATGAGTGTGTTAGATTCTTTTTTCCTTCTTTTTTGTTGTTGGAATAAACTAAAACTTCCATGTTCTTATACTTGCAGTAATAAGTTTAATTTTGCAGTACTCGGACCGCAACCACATTAGATGTTCTGCAAAAAAGATTTGTTCCCTATAAATTAATAATTCACATTCAAGTTTAAATCTATTAAACTCTTACATATACAGACATTTCATTTCGCTTACTTTGGTTAAACGAGACACAAGATTATAGTTCTCAGCAGCATCCAGATTTAGAAGATTCGATTGGACGTCCGTGTTCTATTTTCACCTTGTTGGCTGGATCACTCGCTCCGCTCGAGGGTGGGCCCACTCTAAGTTTTATTTCAGCAGCCATCGTCATAAAAGCTTGCTCTACATTCATTGCATTCTTTGCCGATGTTTCCAAAAATGGTATTCCGAGTTGATCGGCATATTCCTGTTTATAACAAAGTACAGCTATGCAATAAAGACTGTAACATAATTAAATAAATTATGCAATATAAAAAAAGAGTATATGTGCTGTTTACCTTGGCCGTTGTATAATCTACAACTTTCTTCGTATGTAAATCACATTTATTGCCGACTAAGAGCTTATTGACGTTATCACAGGCATAACGATCAATTTCTTCCAACCATTGTTTTACATTGTTAAAAGTCTCCTGATCTGTGCAGTCATAAACAACAATAATACCATGTGCACCTCGATAATAAGAACTTGTAATTGTTCTGAACCGTTCTTGACCCGCCGTATCCCAGATTTGTAGTTTTATTGTTTTTCCATCTAAATCAATGGTTCGAATCTTAAAATCCACGCCGATGGTACTGATATAACTTTCCGTATATGTGTCATCGGCAAAACGCAACAAGAGACATGATTTTCCAACACCAGAATCACCAATTAGAAGCAATTTAAATAGGTAATCGCTGAAACAAGAAAATATTTTAGCATAAATTATGGTTACAATTTGTAAACATTTTACAAACAGAGAGAAATGATTTGATGTCTCTAACTTTAGAAAGAAGAATTTAAAATTACAACTAATACAAACACAGGACATTTAAACTAGAAAAACTATTTTGTAAAATAAAACTATTAAAAAAATTTTTTTGAAGGTAAATTCTTTTAAAAATTAGAAAAATTATTTTGTAAAGTATAATTCCTAAGAAAATTCAAAAAAAGGATGTCAATTTGTTAACAATTTATACGTGCCTGTTCTCAGGACTATTAAGAGAAAAGAGCCAAGGTCGGCTAATGCAAAGTAAAAATCTAACAGTAAAAAATACTGAAATATGGACTATGATACAAGAGTGCCATGTTTCGAGTAGTAGGGGAAAGCGACGGGAGGGAAGGGTAAATCTGTCAAGACGGTGAAAATCAAAGGACACACCGTATTTTTTATTCCCTGGCATAGCGAGCAGAGATCCCGCGAGAGCGATAACGTGGACGCTTTCTCATCACGGAAACGTCCATATTATCGCTTGATAATTTGTACAAAGTGGTAAATTTGTTACACTTATGTCTGCGCAGAAGGAAGTTTACTCACTACTCGGGATTCATCGTGGACATGCTACGCTGAGAATGCGTCGATTGATGGATCCGTCTATGGTCTGCACTGGAAAGTTAACACCTAGAAAACGGCACCTCGGCCTCGACACGCACTACGAGGAATGCGAATAAATCGGATTCTCACTACGTTTCTTCGTAATATGACGAAGAGTTGTAACAATGGCGGTCACAGCAACTCCTCCCAAACCAATGAGACCTCCACCATTGACGTAATGCCAGAATGGCAGCGAGCACCGTTTCCATAGACGTAGAACGTATAGATTGCGCGCGTTTTCTATTTTAAAGGTGCATTTTCACGAACCTTAAACCGGCGATAAAAATGAACTACGTGGCCAATATAAACATCAATTTTGATCACGTGAGCCTTTTTTGTCGTTGACACGGCCGGTTTGAGCGATTTGTGAAAATGTATCGTAAAGCTTTGGCTGCGTTTTCAGATAAAAAAAAAACAGCTTTGCAAATGTGGAAAATTCTTGAATACGATTGGTTCCTGCTTTTGGTTCCTTATGAATCTAAATGTGTAAACCAATCATATTAAAGAATTTTACAACAGTTGCAAAACTGCTTTCTCTGCTGAACGCAGCCTTTTGTCTACAATGGCTGCGTTCAGCGGACTCAACAGTTAAGTAAGCACTCGCTGCTATTGATATATTCTTTCAGATCTAAAATGCTGATTGGATGATCTAAAAGAATACACCAATAACAGCGAGCGCTCACTCAACTGTTGAGTCCGCTGAACGCCAATGCTAGACATTTTTTTGACGGAGAAAGAATTGATTAATCGGATTGGTCATGTAACTGAATTGTTCAAATATGATTTGTTAATTCTTTTTTTGTCCAAAATTTTAGAATAATTTTCAGGATTGTGGACAAACATGAGTAGTTTAAAACAAAAAAGGGCGCTTAATTTTCATCACTTATACAAGTATATATAAATTATTAAACAATTTTTATATATATTTTGACATCTTTAGAAAGTATTTGTGCAGTTATATATTCATAACAAATTGTAGATAAATTATTGTACAACAAAATATAGTTAACGAAAACAGAAAAATGTACTGTTTCAAATAAAAATATAAAATTCTGAAACAAAAATATTTAAAGGAAAAGTATGGTTCAGTATCTTAAAATTGACATTGCAAACTACAAGAAAAAAATTAGTTCAAGTGTCGGTTGTTCAAAAAGTTTAGTTATTGAGTTGAAAATGATGTTTTTCTAATATGCATGAATGGCTATAAATTGATGATATATTGCATATACATTAAAACAATGGATTTTATTATTGCTATTGTATTAAAAAAACTTATAATTTATCAGGAAAATATTCTTTATAATATTACTGACAACATTTAGAACAAAGGTAGCAAAAATCGCGTTTCAAGCGCGATGTCCACTAGAAATCGGTCCGAGATCCTCGGACAGAGAAAAAATTAACAAATCACATTTGAACAATTTGATCACATGACCATTGCGATTGGTCAATTCTTTCTTCATCCGAGGTCTCGGACTGATTTATAACATCGTGGACACAAGACTTAAGAGCTAATATGTTGTTTTAGAGTTACATTCTTTTTTTAACAATACGCGAAATATTCTCGCAATACAACCGAGAATTAGTTGAAAATAAAGGAACACAAATAAAAACTTTTTAGTTACAGAAAATGTACACTCTGTACACACCTTGGATCATTTGTGACTGGAGGTGACTTCGGAGTTATGCTAGTTAAAGGATACGTACAAATTGAAACCGGTAACGCACAAAACTTTTCTCTAGATGCTAAGTCTTTTTTTAAGAATAGAAAAGAAACCGGTATTTGACCAAGTGCTCTTAGTATTTCAAAAAACAAAAGAAATGGGCAGGACACGAATGACTCAGACGTGTGTATTAATAAGGCACTATAATATGAGTATTCAATTACACATTCCACATATACATGAGACTCAATATACGCACGAAAATATATTCATATAATTTCGACGAGCCATGTCGAAAAGAAACGCAAGATTCACCTCATTTATCCTTCGGTATTCCGCGAACGCGGCTAATTTCGCGACTTCACTGTGCTCGATCGCAACGAGAAGCACGAAAGAGGCGATCGAGAACATTCATCGACAAGATCGCAAGTAAATCCGACATCCACACGCATTGTCTCACGCACAAATAATCCCCCGTCGCTGTCGGAAACGAATATTGCACATACTTGTCGCGAATGCGTATTTGAACCGGTGAGAATTCAAACCACGCAACGTACACTGGTACGAGCCGGTACCGTTAACCGTACTGTCTTTTGAACGCGTCATGCGCTGTGACGTCATGTGACGTAGTCCTACCGGTCCTACGGGGTCAGCACGGCTCGGGGACGGGGGAACGGCCGCTTGCGGCTGCGCAGTAGACGATCGCCGCGCCGCGACGTAACGTCTTTCCGCTTTCGTCGTTGAATTCTCACCAATTCAAATACGCGTTCGCGACAAGTATGTGCAATATTCGTTTCCGACAGTGACGGGGGATTATTTGTGCGTGAGACAATGCGTGTGGAAGCCGGATTTACTTGCGATCTTATTGATGAATGTTCTCGATCGCCTCTTTCGTGCTTTTCGTTGCGATCGAGCACAGTGGAGTCGCGAAGTTAGCCGCGTTCGCGGAATACCGAAGGACAAATGAGGTGAATCTTGCATTTCTTTTCGACATGGCTCGTCGAAATTATATGAATATATATTTTCATGCGTACATCGAGTCTCATGTGTATGTGTAATGTGCTTCAGGTGCAGTAAAGGGAGAAAACGAAAGCGGAGGAAGCCAATGGATCTTTAAAGTGTCCAGCAACGGTCGCGAATGAACTTTCCGTCTTCACTGTTCGGACACAAAGGCAAGACTTTGAGTAATTGGATCGGATTTGTCAGGTACGCATTTCATTTTTGACTCATTATGCGTCGTCTTGGCATTCGAGATCGTATTTTGGGCAGTAGGTACACGCGGTCATACAGTCCATCGAAAATTCCGCCCGTTACGACGCTATTCTATTTACGAGGTTTACGCGACTCGCAGCACGGCTGCTCGCGCGAATGCATAGCGTCTTTCGTCAATTTCGTCAATTTAAACGCGCGAGTGCGACAAGTATCTACGATGCTTGTTCGGGACGACGTGGAATTTATCGGGCGTAAAACAATGCGTGTGGCAGTTGAATTTTCTCACGATCATATCGATGAACGTTCGCGATCGTTGTCGAGCTCCGAAGTTAGCCGATACAGCCATAGCCAAAAAAAAAGGAAAGGAAATGTGCAGTTAAAAGTACAACTTTTATAATATATAAATTAAAATAAAGAAAAACCATAACTTGATTTAATTATAATGCACATATACATAATATACAAAATATCTAGTAATTCTTATTATTTTTTGAATTGGTTTCAAAATGTCCTTCAAATTGATGTCTTTTGTTACCTACAAAATGTAAAAAAATATAAAATTATACATCACAAATCGGGTACAAAATCTTTTAAAAAAATCAAGTTTAAATATGTATATATATATATACATATTTAATTAAATACATTTAAAGTATATAATAGTTTTCAAGCACATGCATGAAATAAGAATAAAATGCGTTTTTTCTCTTATAAATGCCAATTTTTTGTTAAATGTATATAAACAGTAGCATTGGAAAACGTACAACTTAAATCAAAGTAGGTAGTAAAATTACTGCATCCAAAAATCCTTATATTCCGGTGATATACTTTCCAAATGTAATATTCTATCTTCAATATTTTTCAGTCTTTTGTAAATATCTTTAGGTACTGGTTTGTTAATTCCTATCATACGTTCTGTCACAGAAATTCTCTCATCCAATATAGGGAAAGAATCCGAAACATCGAAGCTCGTATTATTCGTAATTGGTTTGCGTAAAATTGATTGATCGATAGTTTGAGGTCCCCACTCATTTAATACTCTATGAACTAAAAATAATTTCAGATATACATATATGTATATTAGAATTGCGTACTTGCATTTTTACAAGTGCAAAAAAGCGTACTTGCATATATTTTTTAATACATATAGAAAAAAAATAAAAGTTAGTGCTCTCATATGTATATTGAGATATCATGATTAAAAACTTAATTGCAAGTTAAATGTTAGACATAATTACAAATTTGATTATATATAATTTCCTCTATCATAAAATTATACATCATATGAACAAATAACAATACAATTAATTATGATATTTGGATATAATTTTTTAAATTTATCTACATCGAACATTTTAGCTTAAGAGGTAAACAAGTTTATATAAATGATTATTGCAAAATTGTCTACGTAAAGATTTTTTCGAAAAAATACGAGTTTATAAAACAAAATACATATATTCTATAAATTAGATTGCAATATATATAAAATCTTGTATAATAAATCGATATGTCCATAGAAATTAATGAAAAAAGTAAAATACTAATAACATAAACATTTAACAATACGAAATATCGAGTGGGCAATAAAAAATTAAATTATATACTACTTGTATTATTACCTTTTATATGACTTCTGGAATCTTTTCGTCGAATAAGAATGGCATCTACTCTTGCACAAGAATTTTCATTACCATTATTTTCACTGTAGATATATTATTTATAGCAATTAGTTACAATAATTTCAGCTTATAATTATATCAGTTATGTATACATACTATAATTATAATGAAAATTATATTAGAATACACATGTAAATTCTTTTATTTTAATATTAATAATGAACTGACCTGTAGCGGCAAAACTCTTGAACATTTACAGTATTTACATGTTGGCGCTTTCTTTCAATAAATGATTCTATTCTACGATTTAATTCTTCTGAATTTGCTCGAATTTGTACAAGGTTTTGATCGACAACATCTTTATTTGGTACTTTTTCATTTATATTTGAAGTCATCTGAGCTTCCTCTTTCGAAGCTGTAGATTTAGTAACATTTTCGAATTTTAATCTGATATAGTTTATCTATATGCTATGTTAACTATACTAACTAAATAAAAATATATTGTATTTAATTATGTTATTCTGTTATACAGGGGGTAATTAAAACACGAAAAAAAGTTCATGTAAACATGCACAAATCCACCGTTACTGAAATAACTCGCCCCTGAAGTTAGTCCTCTTATTTTAGTTACACTTACAATTGTACAAAGAAAAACGTGGTTCAAATAAAAACACAACAATTTTGTTTGAAAGGCTTATACCACGAACGCAAGATAACGGTAGCGAAATTTAAATTTTATTAATGTTTAATACATAGAGTAATAATAAACGTTTCGGTCATTAATTAGACCTTCTTTAGTATTAATAATTTTTAAAACCAGAACTTAAAATTCGCAATTCTATCAATTCACCTAGCATGTTAAATTTTTTATTTAAATTTTTTAGTAAATTACAATATCTTTCTAATCAACGCAACAATTTATACGAAATTAATTCAAAAATATTGTAGTCATACGATAATCGATTTCATGCTTTACAGAACCAATGTATTTGTCTCTTAAGTCACATCATCACAATATTTGTCTTGCACGGAGTTGCCAAATTCTGTGCAATCATGTCAATCATTGTGATGATGTGACTTAAGAGACAAATACATTGGTTCTGTAAAGCATGAAATCGATTATCGTATGACTACCACATTTTTGAATTAATTTCGTATAAATTGTTGCGTTGATTAGAAAGATATTGTAATTTACTAAATAAAAAATTTAACATGTTAGGTGAATTGATAGAATTGCGAATTTTAAGTTCTGGTTTTAAAAATTATTAATACTGAAGGTCTAATTAATGACCGAAACGTTTATTATCACTACGTATTAAACATTAATAAAATTTAAATTTCGCTACCGTTATCTTGCGTTCATGGTATAAGCCTTTCAAATAAAATTGTTGTGTACTTACAATTGTATTTTTTTGTATACATAACACAAAAAATAAACAGGAATTACTATATTTCTAGTTAAAATTTATCTTTATTATAAAGATATCAAAATGCTACATTTAAAATAATTTTAAACTGATAGTTTAAAATCACTTTAAACGCTAAAAATAAAAAATATCGCAAGAGATTTATAAGAAAAATAAGTACCCACTTAATGAAAGTGTCGAAGACTTATAGCAATCTACATCCAAGCGAGGAAGACCATAATGTAAAAAAAAAATAGATTTTTTGGAAAGGAAAATATAAAACTAAATAAATCAATAAGTCAACGCAGATAGCCATGCAATAACGCAACATCAATAATATTGTAAATAAATCTTCTAATTACATATATTATAAAGATTTCTTTCAATTAAAATATGAATATTATGAAAGACATACCAACTATAGCAAATATTTAAGGAAACATGCATAAGAAAATATTCAGAATTGATAATTAAAAAGTTATTTACTATTTATCCATTTACACTCTTTATTTTGTTTCCATTGTGGTTCCCCTGTTTCGTATACTTCTTTTTTCCAAATGGGCACTGATGCTTTTAACGCATTAATAGCATATTCTACTGCCTTCAGTGATTGCTCTCTATGGGGAGAGGAAACTGCAATTACAACGCTTGCTTTGGATATCGGTACTTCTCCAATACGATGATATATGGCGATGCCTTCTACATTCCATTGTGAACGAATTTTGTTACAGATATTAGTCATCTCTTTTAAAGCCATTGATTCATAAGCTTCATATTCCAGTTTAATTACCTAGATAAAATTTCAAAATAATTGACTTTAAATTTACAAAAATGTTAATAAAAGGATCATTATTCATAAACATTTGTTTGCAATTATTTTTAAAAACAATTTTTCATTAATGATTTCTTATCATTTCATGAGTAAAATCCAAGAGATTTAGAATATTTTTTCTTTCGTCCAAACAATAGACGATGCTACATTTTTATCTCTTATTGATTAATACAAATTATATATTTGCACAAAACAACACTCTATAAGTTTTATTTATATGCTTTTTGTAATACAAAAGAAAAATTTATTTATTTATTTTCTTTACATGTTATACTGACTCTTATCATGTATTCTTGTGGTTGTGTTTTTTAAACTCAAAATCTATTTTATGGTTATATGTTTAAAGCAACAGAACACAATTAATAACATTAAATCAGAGTAATCATTTTTTATGAATAAAATAACAGCAAGTCAGTAAAGAACTATTTTATGAAAAAAAATTTTCAAATAAAGCAAGAAAATTGTTTAGCATTTTCTTATATTGCTTTTTTTAAGTAAATATTATTAAAGTCTGCTCTCATCGTTAAATAAAATTTTCATATAATTTATGTAAAATTAAATAAGGTTGAAATATAGTTTTATTCTAAACAAATTTATGTAAATTCAGCATTTACATAGTATATATATATATATATATATATACATATTAAAAATTTTAAATAATTCATCAAAAAAATACTTAGAAAACTTCAAATTGATTTCTGCACTTTACCTTCTTATTTTCAAAATTATCTCGAGTAACTCCAATAAAATTAGATATTGCTCCACAGTTAGGAAATGTCACTAGCTCCATGATTTCTATAATATTTAATTCTTCTTGTTGCAGCTTAACAAAGTTCTTTAGTATCTCCATTATCCTAAACAAATAATATAGCACAACTAATTTTATTTCTTATTTAACTTACATTACATTTTTTGAGTTATTAATTGACATTACATGCGTTAGAAAATATCTTAATAACAGTTTAATGTATGAATAAAAAAATACGGGCTTACTTAACACGTTCAAGAAATATTACAGATAAAATATAAATATATGGAAACAATAATATAAATTTATAATTTTATTTCTGTTAAACAAACCTCCGCTAAGTGGTGGAATAACTGCAATTTTATCGTTTTCCGATAGTATAAGAATGCTATTTGGAACAACAAATTCGTCGTTTACAGCTAGTATTATTTGATTACGTATACTTTCTAGCTCAAAGGCATGGACTATTTTGTCAAAAAGATCAGCAGATGATAATGTTTTTTGTATAGAAAGCTTACATTCTTTACAGCCAACTAATTCACGTGCTTTAGCAAAAAATAAGATTGTCGCTTGTATTTCGGTCTTATCCATCACAAAACATGAATAAGAACATGCTTTCTGAAACAATTTAGAAATATATAATTTTATGCTATCAAGACATTATTATAATAGCTTTTCATCAACTTTTGTGACACATCAGCAAAATACTTAAGTTTACTTTGTATCTGGTAATTAGACTCTTAACAGAGACTAATAGTATTTCCAAGCAGAATTATAGCAGAGTGATATCAATTGTCAACATTAAATTTATCGTTTACTGAACATTTTGTAAATACATTAAGTGACAATAAATAAAAAATTTACAGAAAAAGAAAAAAATGTACATTTAATAGATACTCAGTTCCTGCTGCTAACCTGCATTAGATGACTTGCAAATCTGCTTAATTATTTGCCATTTTGGCAAACTACTATAGCTATATTTCTACTAAGTCTGCTAGGTCCTGCTGATACTGTATATATCCCGCATCTTGTAGTTTTATGCAAAAATTTGCGACAGACACTATATGATCACATTTAATTTTTCAATTAACTCTTGCGATGATTGAATGCTTAAATACTTTTTTATTTTATTCTGACATCGTAAATAGCAATCTTTTTTGCTCTGATGTGAACTTACATTTCCTCGTATATTTGTTATATGTATATACATATAAACATATTTTTTCAAAAGATCCTCTTACCTTCAATTTCGATGAAATTGTGCTTATCGGATGTGTTTTTGCACGTAACGAAAGAATCTGGCAGAAAAAGTGGCTCTGCTCAGTGAAACGAGATATTAATCGTTGAAGTACGTTATCATTGAGGTTACGAATCGTACCGACAGTGTAGCAAACTGCGCGTGCGCTGTAATCACGTTTGTATGGCTTCAAGAAAGGGATAGCGAAGCCCGCTTGCATTCTCGAAACTAGCCGATCTCCGGATCTTCGCCAATCTTCGGAAATTCCGGTAAAGTGGAGTGTATACTGCATGGTCATGGAATGCGTGTACGCCATTTTGTTATTTTCGATCATTCTTAGCTTAGTCAGAGAAAAAAGTTTCTCTCTGGCTTAGTCATTCTGTAGCGAGGAATGGTGCGAGCAGTGCTAGCTCGTGCTAATTAACAATATTCGTTGTGTAATTAATCTTGGCTGTATTAAATCCAGATACTATTAATCAAAGAAGTTATTTAATTAATTTTGAATAACTCAAAAATGGTTCAAGAAAATTCGAACGAGAGCAACGAAGACAACCATGCAATGGATTGCGACGCAGATGAGTTGGCACAAATTCAAAAAAAGGTCGTGAAAAATGGTAAAAGTGTTAAAAGAGGAATAATCTATTTGTCCACAATTCCGAAATATATGAACATCACGATGATCCGAGAGATGTTTTCTGCTTATGGGAAAGTAGGCAGAGTATATCTGCAGCTAGTCGACAATGGTTAATCTTAGGTTTTTATTGTATCATTTATTGTGTGTATTATATAATTTAATTTAATCTCAAATTTATAAGTCAATTCTAAGCAGAATCGTAAGACTCGTAAAGCCTATTCTACAATTACGTAAGCGTAGTTGTAAGAATTGATCAATCACAGTTGAATGTTCTTCTCATATTCGACAGTAATTGATCAATTCTTACAACTACAACTATTTACAACTACACTCACGCAATTGTAGAATGGGCTTAACGTGTTCTTGTAAAACTTGTAAGATCTTATGGCTAATATTCTAATTTTATGCGTATGTATTGTGTAAGATGTACGAGTATTCGTAAGTATCTATGATTTCTTATAAATTTTATGGCTAGTAAGAAGCTGTCGGTAAAAATATTTTGTAAAGGTACAAGTGTTTAAAAATTTTTACAAGTTTTACAAGAATATGTTACGAGCTTTACGATTCTGCTTAAAATTTAGGCATTGCAATCTTTATGGTTATATAAGATGGTTTAAAAAAAATTCTTTTGTTGATTGTACTATGGGCTGCATTTAGAAATTTCTAGTTGTGATTGCATCATTTTGGATGCCTTCCATTTAAAATCTGTTTTCTGTAGCTGAACTAGTGTATTTTTTGAAGTGAGATAAGTATGTCTGACATTTGTAGAAAATGAGAAAGAATTCTACGACAGTCTAGTGCAGAAACAAAAATAGAACATAATTAGAAAATCAATTATTTTAAATAGTTGATTATAAATATAACATTATTAAATTTAAAATATTGTAAAACATTTATAGAGACACAATCAGTGAAACATAAAAAGAAAACCAAGAAAGTAATCAAGCATTTTACTGAAGGTTGGATAGAATTTGAAAGTAAAAAAGTAGCAAAATTTGTAGCAGAGACGTTAAACAATACTCAAGTATCCACAAGAAAGAAAAGCAAATTCTATGATGTTATGTGGAATATAAAGTATTTGCCTAGGTAAAATAAGAATTTTATTTTATTTATTATTTCTTATTTTTATTTATTACTCATTTAATTAATTAATATTATTTACATTTTATTTCTTTTTTACAGATTTAAATGGATTCATTTGAGTGAACGATTAGCATATGAACGCGCAGTTCATAAGCAAAGACTTTTAACAGAGATAGCGCAAGCTAAGAGAGAAATTAACTTCTTCTCATATAATGTAGACAGAAGTAAAAAGCTGCGTAGAAAACATGAACAAGGGGAGGACACGACGTTTGAATTGCCTGAAGTTAAACAAAGGGATACTGATAATGAAATAAGGAATAAGAAAGCAAATACACGAGTAGAAGACAGAACAGAATTCCTTAAATCGATATTTGGATAACATTTTTTTAAATGTAATTATATTGTATTCATAGTGATTAAGGATATGCAAAATAATGCAGCATTAATGTACAATATTTTGTTTAATACTTATTGTTTCATATATTAAATATTAAAATTTCAAAATTCAAAATTTATAATGGAAATATCCTAAAGTTCAAAAGAATAAAAATTCAAATTAATATAAAAGAGGTAAATAAGCCTCGCAAAGAAGTCAGTTGGTAAAACCAAATGATGTGTGAAATCCAATAAATGATACATATTTCGATCTTCTAATCGACATTCAGAAGGTTGAAATGTATCTATTATTTTTATGTATATTAGATTTCACATGAATGTAGCATGACAGACCGCACTTGTGTCCCTTCTCGGAAGATCGGCAACCTTCCGAGTGTATCCTTGCCTACAGAAACGTCTCTCAAAAAACTGCCATTCGAAACCGGCATTAAAACTGTAGGGTCTCATATTGCTTGTGGCAATTGAATAATCGAACTCTTTTGTATTAATTTGAATTTTTATCAAATATTAAATTTTATAATTTTATTCGTTACAAAAGTGTTACATAAGTCATTAATTAGTTTTATTTTAAGTCGAATACTATTAAAGAAACCTATTTTTACAAATAGTAAAATATTATGTGAATACAAAGAGTAATACCAATATGCTACACTAAAAATGAATTATGATTTATAAAGAACATAATTTATTATCTGTTATGCAAAAAGTGTTTTATTTGCTGATTACATATGAATTAATGTTATTACAGAAAACTGTATGGAAGAAAATTATGGAAATAACATTCAGTAAGCAAAAAATGTTTACAAGAGGCAGACATAGTTCATCACTCATGAAGAATTCAAGACATCATCACAAGAAATTATATTAGATGAAGCGGTTGTTGTACTAAGCCAACAGCGATGTCTACGGCGTTGATGTTATTTACAACAAATATGAACGTGATTAAAATAGGAGGTAATTTTTATTTTCGTTTTTATATCTAATTTATCGTTTAATTAAAATTTCGTGTAAAAAGGATACTACAAAATAACAAGTGATAGCACTGAGTTTGCTATCAGAAACATTGTAATAGAGGCTAAAAACGAAAACTTTATAAAAGCTGTATATAACAAACCAAATGAAATATTATGTAACTTCTAACACTATAAGCAAGTCAAAACTTGACTTTATTTCTACTAACTGTGTGTATGAACCTTTCAAATTATGCTAGCATAATTGACCCATGGTTTACACGACGTTAATGAAAAACAGCAATTCACGTGCAGGGTTTTTTTTTTATTTGGATACGCCGTCCAGCCCTTTTAGGCATTCAAAGCTTTTAAATCTTATTCCAAAGTGATTTAGAGGTTTTGGTAACAAAACATTCTGAATCACTTTCAGTGAAAAGATTTATATTTGATCCTTCATTTAATTTTTCATCACTATTTAATGTTCTCTGGAAGTTGATTGTCATAGATAATATTGAAACGGGAGTCGTAATGATCTTTTGTAATTTGTTTAAATCATCTATAGAGTATAAATACCTGATTTAATTAAATGAGATATACCTGTATATTCTCAATCAATGTCTTTTGAAATCCTTAACAAGTTTGATTTTTGAGAAATCATTAGTCCTTGGTTTGAATTATAACAAACCAATTTTGTATTTCACATTTAGTAAAGGAGAGCCAATGATATTTGGCAATTCTACGTGAATATGTAAGAAAAGCGAACTCTTTACGACTTAGATTTGTAAAATTTATTACTTATTTTATCTTTGTGACCTGGGGAAAGATTTTCAAAACCCGGACTTCTTCACTTATTGGATTGCAAGCTTTTTGTTTAATGCGCGTTATGCGCGATTCAAGCGTATCTCTACTGTGATCGGATTTATCTAATTAATTAACCGGATGACCTTGAATCAGCTCGAAATAATTATAAAATGATTCTCTGGTATATCACCAGGACTTACTAGTTCGATCGCCACTCTGTTTATCTTCCTACAGAGAAGGTTGTCCTTGAAATGTGTCGCACAGCCTTAAGCTTCGCTTGACCTTGGACTCCCTCAGCAGGTGGAACAGTCTGTTTGAGTTCCTATGTTTCCTGTTCAATATTCTAGTTCTAGGAATCATAAATTTTATGTTTCCTTCATGATTTACTGGAATTTCATTATAACGGATTTAATAATTTAGTGAAATTAATTGATACTGTTGCTCTAAACATCTGGCAGCCATATTTTAGCCGGGCCGAAGTGCTCCAAACATTACCTAGATTGCACGAATGCGACGTAGGCAGGCTGCTACGCAGAAGCCTTCTAAACTTGTCCACCGGATGAGTATAATCTTGTATTTATACCATGGTTACTCTATTGTTATTCCCTTATGACGGGCGATTGTATTGTGCATTAATAATAAAATCCTGATTATAAAAGTCTAATTGAAGAATATTGCCTAATTATTATTATCAGTTAGAGCATCCAATAAGAAACATCTGTCAAACAAATGTGATGTTAATTTATTACAATGTTTGAAATTAAAGCATTATACGTATGTAATTAAAAATGAATTTTATTAGTTAACTACAATTGCTCGTTTATAAAAAGCCTTGACATTTTAATTTATTAATTTATTTTGATCGACTTTAGAGTTATCGGGATGTGAGCACAGACCGCAGGTATGGAATAGATATACATTTCTTTTTTTTGTAGTTCATACAATATTATCTAAAGCGTAAACTATTAATTCGCACTCAATCTGTGTGAATCTTTACTATAAATTTTGCGCAAAATATTTGCCGTATGGCATTTATTGCTGATATAATTTTAGCGTAAAAGGGTTACAAAATATTTAAATTTTTCACTTACACTGTACGTATACTGACATAATTTAAAGTATACGTGCTCGAGGCATTATTCAAGCTGATACAATTTTGGCGTAAAAGGTTACAAAATATTTAAATTTTTCCAATTTTGTTGTGCCTTTCGGCGCAACAAATAATAACTAAGGGATTCGATCTATGTCTTTATACTACTATGATCCGGATGAACATAAAATTCATTCGGAAATGGTCCACCCAGGGCCGGTAAACTCCTATCAACCAACGAGTTATATATTATTGTTATACCATCGAAACATGTGTAAGAATTTTATTGAAGAATTTTATTACTATTATATGTCTATATTTTATATTTAAGTATTTTTTTATTATTAACTCTTATATGCCCTTTACTTAGATTTTTATTTTTATGTTTTAACATCTTAATATACAATTATTTTTGTTCCTATTGTTTTCGCGTTGACAGTGTTTCAGCGCAACAACAATTGGCAATTCTACGTGAATATGTAAGAAAAGCAAACTCTTTACGACTTAGGTTTGTAAAGCCGCATTGTTTCACCGACAGTGTTTCAGCGCAACTACAAATATTTAGAAAAGGAATTAACCAGGTTCTGTACGAATTTAATAAACTTTTATTATAATACGCAATAGTCTGAACACTCGCATACTTACCACTACCACTCATCTCTAAACATGGTTTAACATTAGACTTAATCATATAAGAGTACACATTAAACGGACGATAACAAAGGGGTACATCACTACAAGCATTCCTTTTCACACTAGGCGGTTGTTTGTTTAACTACCAACTTTGGATTAATATCCACTTTATTCATTTCATAACTCCGAAACAAATCACTCAATTCTGGTCTTATAGCTGAATTAACAAAATTCTTAACCAACAAATCAGCAAGTCTTCTTGAATACATTCTATCACTTCCAACAAAGGAGCACTCAAGTTCCGCTTAACTGCACCCAATATCGACTCCTTTTGCGACGGTAATCTATTACTCGATATCATAGTTCTCAATATCGGTCGTAACTTTCCATACCTCGGTATACGCATCACTCCACGAGTAGGATCTACAGTTAATTTATCCAGCACAAGCGATGTATCCTCCATCTCCATCATCAATTGATCATTATTATATATCTCACAAGCTACACCTGGCAACTTATCATCATACCACAATTGGAGATAATGTACATCTTCCTCAAAATTAGGAGTTATAACCGGTTTACCTTTAAGCTCAAAAGACACCGAATTTATCAACTTGTACGGTCTTTCAATATCGTGAGTTACATGTGGGACATCCTTAACAGCATCTTCAAACTCACTACCATACCTATTCAAATCCAACATATAAGTCTCAGGAATATAATCTCCCAAACAAACACTCAAGTCTCCACCAGCAACACAATCCACACCAGCCCTTACACTATTCCAACCACGCAAATACTTGCAGTATCTTCACTTAAACCAATATTCACTAACTTACTAGTACTATCCGTCACGTCCGAGTAATAAATAAATGACTTAGTATGTCTAGATATAGCCACAATCGAGTACTCAATTCTATCGTACAAAATCAACGGTTTAGAATTCAACCGCACACAAACAACACTTTCATACGTAAGTCCCTGTGCCTCATGAATAGTCAGAACAGCAGAATTCTTCCCCTTTCCAAAACCGTCCCTTATCAACTTCTCCTTATCTAACTGGAAATGTACCAAGTACAAACACTTATTAGTATCCCTAGGAATAATATCATAATTTCCAGATAACGGAAAATTAGCCACAGATCTAACCAAATTATTTTTTGAATAGATATCAGGATAAAATTCCTTACGAGCAAACGCAACATCTATTGGACACCTATAAGTCACCTTCAACACAGTTCCAATATTACAAAATTTTTTTGGATGTGAAAAATATAAAGGGCACACATGGTCCCTATCCACATATGGAATCTGGTTAACATCTCCAATCATCACAATCTCTTTCGCACCAGACAACGCCGTGACATAACCTATCACACCAGCATGCATCATCAAAGCTTCATCTACAAACACTCGCGTATAATCTATCTTACTACCATTAACAAGTAGAGACGCTACTGTCCTAACGTCTCTTTTAACATTACACTTGGATTCATTTCCAAAACACGTCTACGAACATCATTAACACCCTCCTTAGTCATAGTCAAAACCAAATCAGAACCCTCACTTGAAAACACAGCTTGCCCCACAATAAAGGTAGTCTTATCACAACCAGGTGGACCATTAACCCAATTTAGTTTCGGCAACTTTACCTGTTCAAGTGGTACATCCACAATATTTCTACAAATATCAACATCTAACATAATTTCAGTCCTACATACCAAAACGTACCTTTCAGAACAAGTAAATCGTTTGAAACCTTTATCATATCTAACATAACCACTCTTACAATACCCATACATATATTTCTTGGTTTCATTCTCATTTATTAACCAAATTTTATTATAATTATCATATAAGTTAAAATTTTTAGATTTTAGTTCATCCAAAACAAACGAACTAATTGACATATCTTCACAAGCCAAATCTGATATGTACCGTTGATACTCCTTTGCATTTACTCCATCAGCTAACTTTATAATATGCAAAAATTCAATCATAGCATTAACAAAAGAGATATCAAAGGCTTCACCAGGAATATACTCGGGACTGCGACCAACACCCAAATCAACAGCACTAACCTTCGGAAAAACAGATATAATCTCACTTTCCAAATTCTTTCCAACATTACTTCCAATCAACATTGTCTCAACGATACCATAAGAAACAGTTCTAAACTCAATCAACCGAGTTCTAACCACAGCAACCTCACGCAACAAACAAGTCAAAGTCATTACATTCACACTACTACCAAACTCAAACGCCACACGAACAAAATCTGACTCACACCACTTCAAAACACACTCTATCCCCCCCTTTTTTTTTGTGACGCAGGGGAAATGCATTACGCATCCCCGTCTCCCCCGGGGGAGGGAGACGGGGTATGTGGGACTCTCTCCTCGGAACTGTTGCTCCGAGGAGCCTACCCACTAAAACCCCTGCGGGCGTACCTAACCCGAACGTCTGGGGTCCATCCAGGAATTTCGCATCTGTAGTACTTCCGGATGGACCCCCGTTTTCATACGTTTAACGTATCCTAACCATTTATATATACACGAGGGTGAGTAGACGCCGGCTACCCACCCTCTCTTGCCCTTTGCCCATCTCGAGGGGGTCATGAACCTCCGTCCATGACCCCATGGGCCTTCCCTCGAAGGGCCAATGGCAGAACCCTTGGCTCGGCCTTCGAGTTCTTTCCTGCTTATTACTACTTTCTGAGTCCGATGGTCCCGCTATTCGGTACCATCGTATGACTCCTCCTGTCTGCCCAGAGGGCACGTGGGCCGCGGGGAGGGTAAACTAAGTTAAAGATGGAGAAGCCCCCTCCCCGCGGTG